AACTCGTGTATTACGATATTTCTCCACTCTCAACAGTTAAATTTTAATATTTAAAGAGCTCGGCAAGCCTCGCGCTTTAAATATTTAAGATTTAACTATCTCGAGTGGAGAAATATAGATTCTACCACTGCATCGAGTGTGATACGATATTTATCCACTCGAGACAGTTAAATTTTCAAATTTAAAACGCGAGGCTCGCCGAGCGTTTTAAATATTTAAAATTTAACTGTCGAGAGTAGATAAATATCGTATTACACGAGATTTGGTGGTGGAATCTGTTTCTCTAATGATTTTCAAACAATACACAGGCAAATGTATTCCTTCTTTTCGAATGATCTGCAAAAAGATGTGTTCTTTCTATGTGACGTCATCAGGCATGGTCGCCTTTTTTCATGCCGTCACAATAGGAAATTCAGAGGAAAGCAAGAAATTCGACGTCATAATCGGATTTTAACCAATGAAGAACTGAGATCAAACGAACCACACGTTGATTAAATTTTTTTTATACAATGGGTGCAGAAAGGGATAAATTGACGAAGAATTAGAGAAATATCGTAACACACTTGTTGCAATGGTGGAATCTATATCTCTTGTCTCTCTGGCTTTGGTGATACGTATACCATTTTGAAACCATACCACATATCCTCATTTTTATATATCAAAGTCTGTATAACTATGTGTGGCAATGTCCTGACAAAAAAATGACCATTTCTAATATTTATTATATACTATATATGTGAGTGTATAAACATTGTTTTATTTCCTAATTGGATAAATGTGTTTTTACTTTTGGTGTACAATCGAGCACAGTTATCTTTATAAATCAATTGTATTATTGTCGAAAGGAAGTGCCTTATTTCTTCCGTAATGTAATTTAAACAGCGTAAAAAGGTGTATTTAGGATATCTTTGTGCACGGAATTGAAATTGAATGCTAGATTGATCTGAAGAAAGTAACCATAGAAAAGGGACAAAACTGTCGTCGTATGTTGAAAACACAAACTAAGATGAAAGTAACACCTAACAACAACAACAAAATAAACAAAATAGATGGAAACGAAATAATAACTGTACAAGGATTTGTATTGGATACTTAGAATAGAAAGAAATCAAAATATAAAAAAATGAGGAGATGTGGTATGATTGCCAATGAAAGAAATATTCATCAACGTGCAATTGAAGTGGATGTAAGCAGTTATAGGCAACCGTGCGGCTGTCAAAAATGATCGAGAAAAAAACCCATACACATATAGATGGCCCCGACATGAAAAAAGAAATAACTCAACTGAGAAAGCTAACGGTCTAATTTAATGATATAATAAAACAATTTACGAAAAATAGATATAACGGATATTAACCAACGACAACCACTGACTTACAGGCTCCTGACTCTTGGGACAGGCACACATATAATGTGGCGGGATTAAACATGTTTGAAAATGCCAGCCCTCCCCAAACATGGAACAGTGGTGGAACAGTAGAACATGAGAAGAAACTATAAAAACCAGTTGAAAGGACTTAACTCAACAAATCGATACAAAGCAGAAGACACACCTAACAAAAACAACGACCGGACGTGACAGGGTATTTACACATCCCTTAAAAATAATAAAAAGACAAAGTACAGACCTGAGAGTACTTGCAGTTACTGCTAGCTTGTTCAAAGCAATAACAACTAATAAATAAATCATGTATCAAATAGATATAAGAAGATGTGGTATGAGTGCCAATGAGACAACTCTCCATCCAAGTCACAATTTGTAAAAGTAAACCATTATAGGCCAAAGTACGGCCTTCAACACGAAACCCTGGCTCACATCGAACAGCAAGCCATCAAGGGTCCCAAAAATGACTTGTGTAAAGCCATTCAAACAGGAAAACAAACGGTCTAATCTATATAAAAACGAGAAACGAGAAACATTATGAACCACATCAACAAAAGACAACCACTTATCAACAGGTTCCTGACTTAGGTCAGGTGCAAACACATGCAGCGGTTTTAAACGTTTTAATAGGCAGACTAAACTATCAATCAGTATACATCTAACATCCACAGATTTAGTGTAAAGTTTCTATCATTCCCATGTTATCTATATGTAGTCAACACATTGGAATGAATAAGTTACTTTGAAACGCATTGTTTCCCATTGGGAATAGCTTCATAGCCCATAAATAATGCCATAATTAGATTGTGTGAAAACATGCCGCACCGGAAGATGTAACAAGTGACCTGTGTAGCGGATATAGTACAAATAAAAACCAGTTGTATACATGTATGCCTGAATGCACTCAAGTGTCAATGTATCAGTGTTGAAGTTAAATGGGGCAATGAAAGGTCTGAAATTAATTTGAAACCGGTGATTTAAATAAGAGCAAATTTTTAGCCACAATGTTATTCATTATTCATTATGCTATTGCATTACCAAATTGAAATTCGGGAAAAAAGATAAAGTTTTGCTCTTTTCCATGTTTACCCTTCTGTTTATTTCATTGTTTATCCCTGTTCGTCCTTTTTCATTACATTATTTTACCATTTTGTATTGCATTGTTTTACCTTTATCATTGCTTTTTTTTACCTTTTTCAGCCTTTTTTATTGCATTTTTTTTTACATTTGTTTTGCATTATTGTTTACCTTGTTAGCTCACCTACCTTACAGGGCAAAGTGAGCTTTTCTCATCACTTGGCGTCCGTCGTCCGTCGTTGTCTGTTACTTTAACAAAAATTTTCTTCTCTTAAACTTAAAATTTAACCAAAAATCTTTATTGGGGTGTCTAGTTTTAAAACAATGTGTCCGATGAACCACCCGCCATCCAAGATGGCTGACATGGCTATAAACATAAAACAAAAACTTAAAATGCAAGTGTTGTCTATTATTTTGAAAACCGTTATAAATACAGAAAATCTGACAGAGCAGAAGTGTTTAAAATGTTGAGCTTTATCAATTGTCTATATACGTCAAAATTGTCAGATGACTTCTTATAAGAGAAATTGCCCTTAAAGGACAAATTTTAACATTTGTGTTTGCATTTTTGCCTATTATCTTGAAAGCCATAACAGATAGAGAGATAATTTAAATTGCAACAAGCCTAGTTCTACAAGTAAGTCTACATTGTCGAAATCGTCAGTCGACTACTTATTAGATAGAGTTATCACCCTTTGATGACGATTTTTATCAATTTTTTGCGTTTTTTCCTTATATCTTAAAAATTGTAATAGATAGATAGAAACTTAAATAATCAAAAATTATCAGACAAGACGAGATCTACAATTAAGACACAGTCGAATATGGAGGAAATCATGTGACGACTCCTTCTTGAAGTTATTGCCTTTAGAGACGATTTTTACCAATATTTTTTTTTTTGCGTTTTGCCTTAAATGATAAAAATCATAATAGATAAGTGACACTTTAAATCACAAAAATGATCAATAAGTTAATTTCTACTAACACGTCAAATGTTACCGATATAGTTAGTAGACTGTCACTCTTTATAGGAGTGATTGCCCTTAAATTGGGATTTTCTTTACCCTCTTTCCTCTTCCCTCTTTTGTGTTTTGAGCAAAAACTTAAGAAGATAGAGAGAAACTAAGCAGACTAAATTATCCAAGATCAACAAAACAGAGCTTTTTGTCGTGAATTCTATTATCGTCAACAATGTTGGAGAGTGTCCTCTGTTGAACATGCCCCTTTACCAAGGTGAGCAACACATGCTCTTTAGAGCCTCTAGTTTTGTTACATTGTGGTATCCCTTTTCATTGTATTTTTTTGCCGTTTGATCTCTTCGAGTTTCGAAAGAGGTGACCGTAAAGCATATTTAAGGTGAAATAGCAACTGAATATGTCAGATTAAACTTTAAAATATGTATCTGTGCTTTTGATGCAACGCAAATTTTGTGTGTGAATTAAAAGCACCCTTTTATTTTATTGAAATATTACAAAACATATATATAGGATGTAATATAACATTTGCAATATACTGGTTATTTAATTTTTTATGTTTTAAAAATTGTCCGTTTTAATATTTACCAAATCACACTTTATACGTTTTTTTTTCAATTTGATAATTAAAAGGTGTAAAATTGTCTCTGCATGATAGAATAGAAATAAAAATTCATGTAGTCACACACACACACGTCCGGTAAGGATCGCTTTCAATCACATAAACAGCCGAATTAGCCCAAATATTAGAATCAATAAAGCAATCTCAAATACTTTTGGATGACACTTGGTATTCACACCAAACGAAATTTGAAATATTGCCTACCCCATAATTTCCGATTGAAAACGGTAGAGTTTGAAACATAAACACGATGTTGTTTTCTCACGTTGTGAATCAAACATTCTGTTGGAGAATATTTATAGATGTGGATACTATGTGATACTAATATTATCTTGCACGTGAATATCGACACGTGAGTTTTCTGACGATATTGTACTGTATTCTCTGTTTCGAGTGTGTTGTGACTATAATGAGTGAGATTCTGAGATTTGAGTATTTTTCGTGAAAATATCTTGCAAAATGTTTATAATCTGCGCTGTTGAACTGTAATTTAAATGCTGCTTTCTTCTTACAGGTATTGACAGTTTTGATTTGTTTTTTGTTTTTTATTTCTGAATTGAATACATGTACAAAGTGTAATTATTGCTGTTTTATGAGGTTCAATTATATATACGTATGAGAAGAGCAATGCAATGAATCCTGATCTGCGTCTCTTAGCACCGGTAGTAATATCGAATATGGAAATCCTAGGTTTTTTACCTGCATTATTTAATTTCATATTCAATATCTATATATAGATGTGAATCAAAGGTATATTCCCGTAAGATATCATTGGTATATTTATAATTTATCCACGTGTATTTCCGCATTCTTTTTGAAAAAAAAATCTAATTAATTTCAAACGTAATCTTACAGAATATCCCCTTTTTAGTTTCACTTATTTTGTATACTAAAACAGGTTCGGCAAAATTATTATTATCTGTAAAAGTCGATAAGACACGTCAGAAGTATCAATGAGTATATACGTGTATGTATACGCTTATATACTGGTACGAATACTGTAGCTTTGATGATCCTTAGTGTTGTTTTATACACTGTAGCCTGTATGGTAATAGTTTCCGGTAACATCAATAACGGTAAAGCTTTGTTATTATTCTGACTTTTTTTCTAAAATCAAGGGAAATCCACTAACACACGTATGTTTAGTTTATTGATTTTATCATAAATAATGTGTCTTTTTTGTACACTTTTAAATCATTACGGGCGAACTGTCACTTTATATAAAACATCCGTTCATCAAAGGATCTGCTTAGACGGCAGCCCCGAGGTCGATGACAACCCGTTTAAGATCTGACTTATTCTTTCCATGTACTAAAAAAGGACTTTTATATTACTTAAACAGGAAATTAAATATATCATCAATTTTGAGCAAAAAGTCATCGTAACTGAGAGTAGATGATTTTTTTTTTCAAATATGATTTGCCTTATAGTAACTTCTAAAGTTTAATTGATGAGTTAAATTAATCTTATCAAAGTTGTTTTTGTATCAACTCTGATGGGTTGGGCACTTCGAGGATGTGTTGAGACAACACCGCCTGCACTGTGTCCAGCGCTCAAGACCACTTGGAGAGCTAGACTGAACAATAATTCAGCTTTCGGTGGCCTAGTGTTACCTTTCCTCGTCAGTAGAATCTAGAGTTGTAACACAGTACAATGATATATTAGGCATGAAGATTGAATTGATTGCAGATTAGCTAAATATTTATCGTAAAGGATCGTAAGATACAATCACAGAAATAATTATGAATATAATATGTGTTTTCAGCCGTGTATCACCTTCACTGGTGATCCAATGCATGGATTTGTCGTAGAATTGTCACTGGTTCAGACGTACTTATAAATATAATTATTTCTGTGACTGTATCAACTTGTAGGATCCTTTACAATAGATATTTCAGCTGATCTGTAACAATTCCATCTTCATGCCTTATATATCATGTACTGTATTACGACGCTAGATTAAAACTGACGAGGAAAGGTAACACCCGGCCACCGAAAACTTTATTTTTGTGAAGCCTAGGTGGTCGAGTGGTCTAGCGCGTCGGATACAGTGCAGGCGATTTGGTGTCACGATATCTCAGTAGCATGAGTTCGAATCCCGGCGAGGGAAGAACTAAAAATTTGCAAAAGCAAATTTACAGATCTAACATTGTTGGGCTGATGTTTAGACGAGTTGTATATGGATATAAGAAGATGTGGTATGAGTGCCAATGAGACAACTCTCCATCCAAGTAAAAATTTATAAAAGTAAACCATTATAGGTCACAGTACGGTAACATATATATATATATGAAGCTCAAATAGTGGCATATTCCAGCGGCTCATCTCTAGCACTCATCAAATAGTACGTACCTCCGCCTCCCCCTCCTTCATGGAGTGTATATAAGCCATGGTATTAATTCTCAACCGACTGCATAAATTTTGAAACGTGTATTGTTTTACGATTTCAGCTTCTATTCTTGATTATTGAAATAAATGCTCTCAGAAATGAAGAAAAAATAACAGTTATGATGGCAAAGACTACTTTCTAGACAACAGATCGGTATTCGGTCTGTTATATGTCTCTTGATAGTGTTAGCAAAAAGGTAAATAATGAGGAAAATACATTAATAAAAACAAATGGCCAAATAGTAAAACGAAAAAAATAAACGGGCGTTGAAACAGATGTATACTATGAGTATAGAATACTGGGCAACGTAAAAAAGATGCTAACATAATTACACAAACTCCACCCTAATCCATACTTTCAGTTATATTTCTTTTATTCTTTATAGTATTTTGGACTGTTCAACGACCCCCGATCATCATTGGAGGAAATAATACATTACTCTGCGATACGGCATCGATCCAGGAAACTAAAGTCACGTGGATGAAAAAATCTGACGTCATTGTTCACCATGGTCTTGTATTTTATCCATCAAAGTACAAAGCATATTCATCCACAAATGGTTCTTTTCTTAAAATAATGAACACAGGAGTCGACGATATCAACGTATCGTACACCTGCATATCAGATGTATTTTCCTTCGACGCTATACTGAAGTTGAACGAATCAAACTATGTGGGTAATATGGATTTTTCACAATTTTACTTCAGAAGTTGTAATTTTTTTTCTTTGGGGTATGGGGGTGGGGTATTCCTTTTATCTGTTGAGATAGACAAGCTAATTCTGGACGCATTTATTTCATTTTTTCTTATTTGTTTTTATCCATTTTTCCGTTTATCAGCTCTTCAAAGTTTATTTTAGGTTTTGGATTTTTATATTTGTGATTCGAGCTTCACTATAGAGACCTAGGTCTTTTCCGACCGGTAGTAAAACCCTTGCTATGTGAGGCGTCTGTTTTGCTATGTGGGATAAATAACTTCGAAACCTAGTCCGTGCAGAGTGTGGAATGAAATCATATGCCTCGAGTAGAGACAATGCCACGCTTTCTGAACGTTAAATGTCCACTGCAATTACTCCTGGAGGATTTTGAAGATAGGATGTTGCAAGACTTAATTACTGCCCCTACCCAATATACCATTTTTCTATTGGCCTTCCTTATGCCCTGTCCTTTATTCCTGAACTTAAGGGTTTTTTTTTATGCAAAATTGTTTTGTTTTTTGTTTTGTTTTGTTTTATTTTGTTTTTGTTTTTGTTTTTATTAGTGGTTACTAGCTTTGAACTAGTTGTCAGTAACTGCGAGTACTCTCAGATCTGTACTTAGTGTCTTTTTTTGTTGTTAGTGATGAGGGGTGGATAAATACCCTGCCACGTCCGGTCTGTGTTTTTGTTTGATGTTTTTCTGCTTTGTATCGATCTGATGAGTAAAGTCTTTTTCAACTGATTCTTATATTTTGTTACACCACTAGCTCAGGTAAGGGAGAGGGTTGAGCGCTCACAAACATGTTTAACCCCGCTACATTCTGTATGTGCCTTTTCTCGGTCAGCAGCCTGTAGTTGAGTGGTTGTTGTTGGTTCGTGTCTGTCACATTTATGTTTCGTAAATTGTTTTGTTATAAATTAGGCCTTTAGATTTCTCATTTGTATTGTTTCATATTTTTCATGTGTTGTGCTTTTATAGCCGACTATACGGTATAGGTTTTTCACCTCGAATTCATTTAATTCTAATTAAACAAAAGAAAAACGTGCGCATTTTTTTATATTCCTTGGTCAGCATTACTGTTATATCAATACGTCTTTATAGTATAAAGATGTATCGTTATGATATAGTAATCTGTAAGAATAGCATAGACTTTTTTATTAGTGTGGTGATAAGATAGTATGAAAAGGTGGCTTCATATTATATCAAGATGTCTTTGTAGTATACGACTTTATTGTCGTAAGATAGTAATAAGACAAAAAAGACAAAAAAGTATGAAAAAGTTGCTCCATGTTATATCGAGATAATTGTATGAAAAAGTTGCTAAATGTTATATTAAGATGTCTTTATAGTATAAAATATATCTTTATGATATAGCAATATCACATTATAGTATAGTAAAATGACAAATCAGTATGAAAAGGTAGCTCCATGTTATATCAAGATGTTTTCATAGTATAAAAGAATATCTTCATGACAAAGTAAAATGACAGAATAGTATGAAAAGATAACTCCATGTTATATTAAAACGTCTTTATAGTGTATAAATTTATCCTAGTGATATAGAAAATTGACAGAGTAGTATAGTCAAATGACGTGATAGTATAGAAAATTTGCTTCATGTTATATCTCAACCCTTAACGATATGATTATCGTTATCATAAGGCAGCTGTGGCGTTCCATAGACCACCATATAATTTATATTTTTAATATATCGCATGCACATGCTAGGCATTCAAATATAAGATTGTATTAAACTTTTATACCAAAGTGTTTAGTTTAAATTTTGAGAGTTTTTTTTTTATGCAGAAAGAAGCACTATTTAGTATAACAAATGTACCATATTTTAATTTTTGTAAAGATATTTTGAGGCGGGTTGAGGCGACGATAATTAAGAATTTGTGTTAATTTCAAAATTTTTCTAATTTAAAGTGATATTCGTCGGACAAATATATCATCATATTAAAAGAATTGATTTGTGTGCAACCATAATTCCAAAATCTTAAAATGATATGTCATGTCATCTTTCAAAGGAGGTCAGACATTTTTTTTATTGGAAAATGCATGTGGGGTTGAGTTTCTATTGACACTCTAAATACATTATATCTAATACCCAAATGTATTTTCTAGTTTTGCCAAATCAAGATAGAACAAATATTACATGGAGTTTAATGGATACGATTGGAGTTACTATTTCCTTCCAACATATATATCCAATGCCGAGATGTGAATTACTTCATAACGTAAGAAACAATAACATTACATAAATAACTAAACATTGTACTTACGAATTCGTTAGTATGACTGGCAGTTAGCAATCACGAGGTATTTCAAAATCATATTTTTCTTGTATTTCCCAATAAAATTGCAAGATTTGTGACTGGGCATGCTCTTATAAATAAAAACAATACATAAGAAAACAAGTTTATAAGAAGGTATGGTGTGATTACCAATGTGACAACTCTCCACCAGAGACCAAACTGAATAGAAGTTTACAACTTAAGGCCACCGTACGGCATGTATAAACATGTATACACATGAAATTTAAAGACCTGAATGTTTCTTCTTGTAGTTGTATATGGTCATAAAATAGATGATCGTGTGCACATAATTAAGATGAAGCTCTTCCATTCGTCATATAGACTATGATTAGATCAATGCTTTTACACTCCAATAGAATTCAAAAAAAAAAAAAACCTGAACTAGTATTTGTAGTTGTGTTTTTATTCTAATTTTTATCATTTTATTTGTTGCATTTATGTGGTTTTTTTCCAGAGACAAATGGTAATACAAATATTTTGATTTTATAATTGATATTTTTTAAAGAAAAATTTACTCTCAGCGGCATACAGTAGCAATAGCCATATGACAGACATTTTCTACAAAGATGCAAGCATATCGTTAATCAACAATTCAAAAATATGCGGTGGCAACTTAGAACTACGATGTACATTGATGACTTTAAAGATGCATGTTGGCAGTACGCATGTCTTACCAGCCTGTAACGGTACATATTTCGTGAAAAATGACGATACACTAGTTATTTTTAATGAGACACCTTTCCGATAATATAAACACTAAATATTAAAGTCGAGCGATCTTGAACAACAAGCGATTAAGTATGTGTACAATGGAAGAGGTTAGCTCTTAATCTCATACAGCCTGTAAAGGTTATGCAATCATTTTCAAATGAGAGAGACTATATGTACATGTATATTTATCAATTATTATTATGAATTAATACCAAATATTGGTAATTGTAAAACATATTCAATATTACAAACGGTTAACACTGGGGATTTTACCACTAAAGACTGCCATGTGAACTAGGTTTTTAATTGGGGGGGGGGGGGGGGGGTCTTATTTTGCAGGCTGATTTGATAAGAATGCAATGCTTCGTCTTTGAAACTTAGTTATCAGAAAACACAAACATGCGTTGATGAATATGCAATATTTGGTTTTCAATAAATCAATTCCCATTCTTTTCTTTTTTTGCAACATATAAATGTAGGCTTTATTTCCTTATCATTAATTCTCTTATCCTAAATTGAACTATTTAAATAAGACGTACGTGTACTTTATTACAGAAAAATATTTCGAAATTACTACTACGAGTAAAATGCATAGAGGTGTACTTGTTCCTTTGTGTATTGCTGTTTCTGGCTTTGTAACTACATGTATTGTATCAGCTGTGTGTTTGATTCGTGGTAAAAGAAAAGCATGGCTTAAACTGGACCATAAAGAACACAATCAGCTGCAGGTAAACAAACTCGCGTTTTACAACATTAGATATTTTCATAAAATAGATTAAAAAGCTAAAATCTATTCTTAATCCGGAAAGCCTGGATTCTATCCTTTTTAGTTTTTTTTCTATTCCACACGCATGTTTTTCGAAATTTAACAATAATTTTTTTATCTTTTACTTTGTCTTTTTTGTAAATAAAATTACGAATTAAAAAGCGATAGCCTTCAAATATGTTGTACAAAACCATTGGAAAGCATATAATTCTGTCTCTAAAAGACAACCAAATATGAAAACTGTAATTCGATTCCTAATTAATGACTAAAAACAATGCGAAATACTGTTGATATTTCTACTGGAAACTACATTATATTTTATCAGAAACTACAACATTACTCACATAAATTGGTTGGCATAGCTCAACTCCTTGAAGCCCGTAATTCTGAGAACTGATTCAAAGCTGTTGAAGCTATAGTGTTTAGATGCACTGCACTGATTTACAAAATCGAATGCGGATAGAATTTGCAATCGTGCGAATTCAGAAATCTGTTGTGATATGCACTGTTATCCTTTTGAGATTATAATAAAAAAAAAAGAAAGGGGCGACAAGGGAACAACTATTTGATATTCTGGGGGCATGGATATTGTTGTCTGGTAGAAACTGGAAAACAATAACCGTACCTTAGACAGAATACAAATTCATATTATGACAAACAAAATGCAGGAAATCATTGTTCCAAAAGTAAAATAATTAAGCCGGATTGGCAACAATCCTAAATGAATATTTCCTCCGTAAATATTCTGCCCCCCCCCCCGCCCCCCCCCCCCCCCCCCCCCCCAAAGTTAAAGCGGTTGTCCCCAAAATGTACTTCGCTAACATGCATAACCAAGGAAAATAAAATTAAGGCTTGACTTTTGAGATTGCTAAAAAGGTAAAAAGGTGACACGTCGAAATTAAACCTATAGTACATGTATATACATGTACCTTGAATTCTTTTACATTCGAAGTTGTCAGCCTTTTATTCGGACATATGCTGATCATTTGGTCATGTTGCATCATTTAAATTCATTATTTATTTATTTATTATGAGTGCGTGATTGATTTTTTTAGGTTTACTGCAGATCTTTAAACACCATTTTAACACTTCAGCGAATGAAAAGGAATTGTTCAGCATTCCTTCTAAAATGTTTTTGGTTATTTTTTCCTCCATGAATATGTTATAATGTTTCTATTTAAATTTATCAAGAGTGAACATGCTGAAATATCTCGCCTGCTTTGACAACCATGATTTAATTTATTTTGAAAGATTGTAAGATAACGGTGTCACTGCACGTATTACGTAAATTCAACATTATCAATGATCCATAAAGATCGGTTCAGGTCAGATGAACCCCGCCAGACAGATATCTACACCTTACATTCATTCGATTCATCAAATATGGTTAACCTACTGCCTACAGTATCTGGGAATCAAACTTAATGTTGACAAGTTAACTTTTAAACTTGGGTTAACACGATGATTAATTGATTGATTGTTGGTGTTTAAACCCACTTTTAACACTCTTGGTTTTCAAATTATCTTGGCAACGAAGTGTCATAAGAGGAAGCCGGAGTACCCAGAAAAAAAACTACTGACCTTTGGCAGAACAACTGGCAATCCTATTTAATCAAGATCGGAGACAAACCCACCGTACCACGAGCGAGGTTCGAAATTATAACATTAGCATTGAAAGGCTAGTAATTACTGGAGATAAAGTACGTGTGATAAGACTCACTCGGCAATCGAGTTCCCAACAGAAATGTACAATATACAATTAGCTATACCTAACAATAATTCTATAGAACATAGTTGCCCTATTGCTCAATGGGTCTGAAAAAACTAAAGGTTGCCCAATGGTTATGCAGGGTGGAATTTCAAATGCCACCGGGAAATTATGGTATGTTTAGATAGAAGTAGACATTTTTTCTTAGAACAGACAAAGCATTTTTAACGTAAACATGGTAAAAAAATAAATGTCATTTATCGTCCTAAACATGCATGGAATACTTGCAACTTGAAGTAAAACAAGCAACAATAACTCTTTTTACTGATTTGACATCCCCATTCCGACCGGACGAGGCTGTGTATTTATACATCCCACACTGACAAATGGACACCTCTTTAGCACGAGTTTTACTGACGGATTGGAGATGCTAGCCGTTTGGGATTTGGTTTTTTTAAAGAGGGAAGACACTCAGTTACCTTTTTTCAACAAGAGATAAAATAAATTATTTTATTAATATATTGTTGTGTGAAAAAAAAATTGTTAAATGAGGCAACAAAAAAATGAAATGACAACTACTCTAACTAAGGGTAATTTAATTACATGTAGTACATATATTTCTTGCAGATCCTGTTGAATTCACCACCACTGTAACAACTACATCTACTTGAAGGATCTCCAGAATGAGTTTTCTTACATCGATAACCTAATCTAATCTAATATCTATAATGAACACAATCTTTATTTTAGCATACTTCAGAATAAAAATGCTCTTGTTCCTGTCTTTTCTCTCTTTTTATGAAAGAAAAAAACTAACGTATTTCACATATTACATATAGTAAAATAAGTATGTTTAGCTAAATGCCAAGTTCTACACCAGCATTCGTTTAAATACCATCATGTAAACCTAGTGATTTGTACATGTTATAAAAATTAAACTATTTAACATAAAAATCAATGATTATCTGTTTTGTCTCTTGAGATCCCTTGGTTACATGCCTGACATTTCTTGTCTTAGTTGCTTTCAGCTCGTGAATTAATACATTCAGATTAATCATATGCATACTATCTATGTTTACGGTATAGATAAGTTTAATATGATCGAAATTAATTGTTAACCGATTAATACAATAAAAATAATTACCCAAAAGCTAGCAGAGACCAGACATAGTAATATGAATATAAATAAAATAATTTGAAGTCAATGAGACAGAAATCCAACAACACAAACAATGAGACATCTAAAAGTCAGGATATGATCTTCTGCAATATACAAGTATTTATTTTATATGTTCTAAGTCTTTTTCGATAAGCTATGCAGAATTTTTCAAACAAATCCATTGTCTATTTCTTTTCCTCGTGAATATGTATGAACTATTTGACCCTAAACTTATAGAAACAGGCAATGAAACAACACTCCACCAGATACCAAATAACTTAGAAGTTAACAACTACAGGTCACCGTATGGCCTTTCTTTGTATTAAATGTTTCTCAAAAGAGATGCTTGGTAACCTAACTAAGTGTTCATTTTCCCTTGAGCTTTATAAATACATTATTTTACGATGTATCATAAATTTAAAGCAAATTTCCATTCAACAATAGTCAGGGCTGTAATCATGTAGATGATATTAAATTCGATAAATGAAGTTATTTGCCGTAATCTTTCATTCTGACAAGCTAACAACATACCATACATGTTGTATATATATAGGTGAGTTTGATGTAGATAAATAGTAATAAAAGTGGCATCATCTACGAACATTACAGTATCTTTTTAACAACTCTTAGGGCCCGTAGATGATTTATTGCAAGATGGGAAAATTAGCCCTATCCAACGTACCGTGGTTTCCAGTGAAATTCCAAATTTCTCGTCATTCATTTCACTCGCCTCACTTTGTGGATTATTTATGTGTTCTCATTCTGAATATATTTGAAATATTTGCCACTGGATTTTTTTTAGCAAAAAAAAACAGAAAAAAGAAATTGTATGGCTTCACAACGTATGCATATGTATAAGAAAATACACATGCAAATAATTACATAATTGTCAATTAAAATAGTTGCAGTATTGAAGTTGAAGTCCATTGGAAAATTTCCCTCATGAATAATATCAAGCTCTGTGTGTGTGTGTGTGGGGATGTTTGTGTCATAAACCTTTTTTGTCTGATAAGGTAACCTATAAAAAAATACAGACTGAGTAACAGCTAGATACAGGAAATGGGGTATACCGAATGAATGAGCATACGACTTCGGGCAACCATATTAACGACTTTCGGTTAAGTATCTACATTATTTACCAAACTGATCGGAAAATGAATTGATATCAAAATACGAAGATGTGGTACTATGATGGCCAATGAGAAAATTATTCACCAGAGACCAAAAGACGTAGATGTTGGCAAAAAATGTATTAGTATGTCCCGGAGTATCCCTCAGAAGCCTCGTGCAAGCTATAAGAGCACTATTTAAAGCAAGACGAAACCAAATTCAATCGGAAAGAAATAAACCTAAACACTATAAGACTATAAAACAAATCACACTGCAACACTATAAAAATAAGTAGATGTGGTATTATTACCAATGAGACAACCATAAAAAAGCGACCAAATGAAGCGGCAGTAAGCAGCTATAGATCACCGTGCTCCCTTCAACATTGAGCAAAACTCATACTGTAAAGTAAGTTATACAAGTCCCCCGAAATGAGAAAGTGTTTAACAATTCCTATGGGAAAACCAACATGATTAATGTTCAAAGGAAGGCGGTACGGTGACCTGTAGTTCTTATTCTCTGTCATTTTGGTGTCTGGTGGAGTGTTGTCTCAGTGGCAGTTATACCAGATCTTCTTATTTCTATATATATATATATATATATATATATAGTATGAAGGTGTTGATGTAGGGTATTTAGTTTTGTTGTGCCATTTTTCTCTATATTTTTATTTTCATTTTTGTCCATTTTTCTCATTATATTTATAGAACCCCGTTGTTTTATATTCTTTATTGTTTTAATATAATTTTCTCTATTTTGTTGTTGTTGTTGCTAATTATTCTCTATTCTGTAATCGCTATCAACGCTCTCAAGTATGACAGACAGCAATCTATGGCAAACTCGGGACTAGGGACAGACATGTTCCGAATATGGTGAGCCCAAGCATGTTTGCTTGCTGGCGCTCAAGCCTACCCTAACATGGAACAGTGGTATAACAGCACAACATAAAACTGTATTAAAAAAAAACGTATAACAACATTAAATTTATGTTATTTTGTATGTATTTGCATCTAAGTATGTAGTAAAATAAACTGCATGTTATGTCGTAAATACATACAAATAAAAACACTGTACTTCTAACGTTTTTTTTAGGCAGAGTTGTCTTTCATGGTACACTGAATTTATTTGATTGTTACATCTGATACATAGGTTCGTTAGAGTTATTTCCCTTATTACATGCGTTTCTCAACGAAATGTTTATCGTTTCTGTTTATTTTGATAATATAGAAAGTAAATGTTTGACTTCAAAGAAATGATTTTTTTTTTACTTTAGTTGACTGTTTTTGTAGTTTCTGTGCTTGCATGCATATACGAGATCTTTTTTGATTTTATAAATAAGCAAATTACCGGTTTAACCCTGTTTCTATCAAAATTCATGTCTTGTAAAAACATTCTGATTCAAACAAGAAATTTAACTGTACATAAAACTGACATGATTATTTCAACTGACACTGAGCATTCTTATGGGAACCATCTGTGATCTTCTTATGTCATTTATTTATAGTCATATTATGATGCGAATGCATTATTCATCCAGTTGTGTTTAAAATATGCAGCAAAGATTTGCATTTCAGTGTAGCAAGCTTTTAATGCATATAATTTTCTCTCGATAAATATTGAAATAGGACATTATTTTTTTGCATGCATATTTTTAATACTTGATTGACTAGGATTGTCAGTTTTCCTACCGAAGGTCGGTGGTTCGGGCACTCCGACTGCCTCCACCAATAAAAACTGACCGCTATGAAATAGCACAAAAGTGCTGAAAGTGGCGTTAAACACCAATCAATGAATCAATCATATTTTTAATAAGTTAAACACATTTTAACATGTGGTTTCTAAAAAATGTACGATTGGGGTTTAGAAATAATCTTTAATCAGTATGGTTACCGTCGTTAAAAAAAGACAGAAGAAAAACGATTGCTACGTTTTTTCGATCAAAAGCAATGCAGTTTCTTGCTGAGAACGATGTTAACTACATGTTTATTGATACATTTACTTATTTATGCGTCTGTGCATTTTATAGTTCCCATTATACATTTTGCGATGTCACAGAATCACAGAATATAGCTGTTGGCAAATTTGCGCATTGGAAAATGTATATTCATTACAAAAAGATAATAAACACTATAAGAAAGCAGAGGCGGATTTACGGGGTGGGGGTGGGGGTACACGGTCCCTCTCATGGAGCTACATTTATGACGTCAATATATAAACAACAAGGCAACGATAACCAAGAGGAATCAACGAACGTTTTCAATAAATGAATAAGACTCATTTATATTTAATATGTAACATAATTAAACATGCCAAACAAAATCTACAATATGTGATAAAAAAAATATATAATAGTCAAGTATAAAAACAGAAAAACAAAAACATAACAATAAAATATATAAAATATAAATGACTAGTTGAGTATAAAAGAATGTGTTTACTTGTCCTAAATCAAGTTATCGATTTTGTAAAATTTAAACTGATGAACATGTTATTTACTAGATTAAAAATTATCTATAATTTACTATTGAAAAATCTTTGTTATAGCTTTATAGATATACAATTTTGTCGTATCATTTAGGTTATTTTTTCTATTTATTTACATGTATGATCTACAATAGCATTTACATCATAATCATTGTTATAGCTTTATAGATATACAATTTTAAAGTATCATTTTGGTTATTTTTTCCATGTATGTTCATGTATGATCTATAATAATCATTTACATCATAATTACAAATATTTGTTTGCACTACATCATGTGTACCAGTATAGAAATTTGAAGGGTTATATGAATATGTACAAATATGTACTAGGCGCATTTTCTTTAATTTAATTTAATTTATAGTTTTTCAAAGAAAATAATGATTCAAAGTTTGGAAAAATATAATAGAAAAGAAAGGATAGGGAGTATCCATCTATGACACAAACATATGACGACAGCAATGGCAAGTCTGTCCCCTGCAATAAACAGAAATCTTCCTGCATTGAAACCCCGTGTCGAGCCTCAATGTATTGTCCTTACCCATCTGTGACGTAACGTGTATTGTTACAAAACAGACGACATAGGCAACCGTTGCTAAGCCTAAATAAAGACCGTTGGCATTTGAAAGGAGTACAGAAAGCCTAAATATAGGCTTTACGGCATAAAAAGGGAAAAAGAGGAAAAAAAATTCTGAGACAAGTGCCTGTGTATGTACAGCAAAAAAACACAAACAGCAAATGAATAGCGCTTGTATTGCTGTTCATCGTCTAAAAGTCACAGTGAGGCCTTCGACACGGATCCCAAAAACTCTCACCTCACTGCAAATGTAAGACGGCCCCTAGCATCGATTTGAACGGAATTCTTTGCAAACTGACGACCACGCCACAACTGTGAATTGAAGAACAAATCCATGAAGTACTTAGACTACCAATAAAATAAATCTGGCAAAGAAATCAAACATGCATTTATATCTTTTATTTTCTTCAGATGAGATAGGGTTGTGGAATTAAGCGCATAAGTCATACTTTTTTTTATGTAACTTAAACTCTATATTGGTGAAAAGTAAC